GGCCAGGCAGGAGGGGCACACTTAGGCCCATCTGAGCAGCGGGGGACTCTACCCCGTGTAAGAGAGGAACAGGGGCAGCAGGATGGCTGGGAGGAAGAGCCCTGGCTCCCAGACCTCGGCATCAGAGTCCAGTCTCTGGAGCCCGAGTGGTAGAAAGCGAAGCTCCTGGAAATTAAGCATCGTGGTGTATGCACGCGCACGCGCGCACTCACAGGCACGCACACACATGAAAACAAGAAACCTGAAAGTGTGGCTCAGTGGTTGGTGCTAGCGAGCACCAGCAGCTCCCGCCTGAGCACTGAGGATTTGGTGGACAGCACAGACCCAGCCCTGTTTTCTTGGATCTGCTGACACCTGGCAGGTGTTTGGCTTTCCGTGGCGATTTTTACATCAGCCAGCGTGACTCCCACCCACCTGTCTACCAAGGGAGCCACCCAGCTCTGCACGAGCAGTGAGGTCTGAGCTGACAGTCAGCAGGTCCAGAGGTCGGCACAGTCCTCCGAGAGGCTGTTGGCGGCTGGGCACGGTGCCGGTGCCCCGGGAGAGGCTGTTGGCGGCTGCAGCAGGCGCCAGCGGCAATTCTGGCAAGCCCACGCCCTCTGCATTGGCTTGTCCTTTGAGACAGCCCTGCTGGCTCCCTGAGGGCCTCCCGGGACACCAGCACCTGGTCAGCGGGTGAGGACTAGGTGGCCCGAGCACCCATTGGGACCTGACTTATGAGTGTCATTTCTGCCTCAGTCAGCTGCTCGCCAAGTTTTTGGCTTGCAAGTGACGGAGTAAGGGACCTCTGGAGTGAGGGACTTCCCGGGAGACCCCCACGGGAAGGAGTTTTGGCTTCCAGGCCGTTTGGTCATAGCACGTTCTGTCATGCAGAATCGCCCTCACACAGTCTGTAGTCCAGGACTGGGCTGGGCTGCCACCTTGCCCACCCTTGCTCTCTGGCGTCGTGCAGCAGGTGGCCACAGAAGTGCTGGCACCAAAGGGAAAAGCTAGAGCTGTGTATCCAGAGCTGAGGCGCCGCGCTGGGCCCCTGAGGCAGCCTGTGGGCGAAGCCAGCCCTGCGGTTGGTGCTGGACAGACCAAAGGGAGGGATCCTGGGGGCAGGCAGGAGGGAGGCGGGGCAGGCCCTGCGCCCCACAGCCTTGGAGCCTCCAGAGCAGCGGCTGGCAGCCTTTCACCTGGCCCCAGACCCTCGGAACACTGCTGTCTACTTTGGGATCCAGAGCAGCAGCAGGGTGACAGTGAAGAACCCTGTCTGGGCATTAGGGAGGTGGAGCACGTCTCCACAGCCCCTGCGGGAGGAGCCTGGAAGGAGAACCTCCCCTCCGAGCAGCCGTGAGGGCCTCCCTGCAGCGCCCCCTCCTGGCGGGTGCTGGCGGAGCTGTGGGTTGCCCGCTGCCTCCGTGGGCTTGGACATCCCAGAGGGACAGTCAGGAGGGCTTCAGTTGGCTGTGGGGCGCAGGTGACCCTCCCTCCATCGTTCCTCTTGCTATTTTGTTAACTTACCAGTCAAAATAAGGGGTTTCATCGTAGTGCTCTCATGCACACTTTACTTTTTTTTAATATTTATTTATTTATAGTATTCTGGCTGCATGTGTGCCTGCACGCCAGAAGAGGGCGCCAGATCTCATTATAGATGGCTGTGAGCCACCACGTGGTTGCCGGGAATTGAACCCGGGTCCTCTGGAGAGCAGCCAGGGCTCTAACCTGTGAGCCGTCCCTCCAGCCACACACTTTATTTTAACTCCCCTCTTGCCTCTTCTCTTCAGTCGTCTGCCCCACCCTGCGTCCTTCTGCTTTCAGTAGTCCCTTCTGCCTCGTATCATGAGTTTACTACTCTGCTTCCCCCTTAAAGCCTGTCTGTCTGTCTGTCTGTCTGTCTATCTAAGGCTTTTTGCCCCTAGAACTACAGGCTGAATCTAGAGCTTCATAGAATTGAGCCAAAATCCTTTCTCTTCCCCTTCACGATGCTCTTTCTGCACCCACACAGTGGAATGTTATCCTGCCATGAAGGAAAATGAAACCATGAGATTTCAGGAAAACAGTCACCACAGCGCTCCTCACGTCCCCCACCAGGCTTCGCCCACCCGCTCGGCCGGCTAAGGGGCGGTGTGGGCAGAGTGAGCTGGAGGGGAGATGGAGGGGAAGGCAGGTGGGGCAGGGCCGCAGGAGAAGCTTGAGGGGGGTCGTGGAGGAGGAGGCAGGAGCGAGCGCTTGTGTGGCCTGAGCAGGAGCCGGGCCTGGACGCGGCCAGGGCGAAGGAGGCGGGCACACTGACCCCACGCTCCTGTCGGGAGGGGTGGGATCCAGGGAATGCTGGGGTGCGGAAGAGACCAAGGTTGCTGCAGGCGCCCCGGAAGTTCAAGGCCTTGAGCTGGGGAGGTGGCCTTTAAGTGCTGGCTGCTCCTGCCATAGCCCAGGTCAGGCTCAGCGCCCACATGCTGACTCACAGCTGTCTGCAGCTCCAGTTCCAGGGGCCCAACACCGTGTTCTGGTCTCTTTGGTGCACATGCACGCACAGTACGTACATACATGCGCGCATATATACATGTGTACGTACGTATGTTCGTGCATGCATGCGGGCAGGACGCTCAGACATGTGACACGTAATAAACCTTCTGGACAGTCAGCAGCACTGCTGAGCTTGCCGCAGACACGGAGTCGGGCCTGGCGCCGCCGTCCGGTGCCCCCGCTTTGGAGGGTGAGAACACGGGCCGGGCCCCCGAGAGGGCAACTGGTTCCAGCGCCCACCCCCCACGCCTCCGTTGTTCACGCGTGGAGGCGCAGGCCCTGCACAGAGCCGCTCTGGGGAGGTGGCCCTGAGGGCAGCGGAGCGCGTGGGAAGGGTTTCACCTTAGTGGGATCCACTGTGGCACAGACAGCGTCAGGACACGCGAGGACGGGCGGTGAGGGGAGAGGACCTGGGGGAGGCGAGCGGGGCCTGGAGGTGCTCTAGGGAAGCCTGGTGTCCCACACGGGCAGGCCAGCAGGGAAGAGCTGGGAGCGGCGAGTGCAAAGAGCAGGCCACAGAGGCTGCAGTGAAGTGGGGAGACGGCCATGCATCCGGGGAGCCAGTGTGTGTGTGTGTGTGTGTGTGTGTGTGTGTGTGTGTGTGTGTAAGTGTGTAAGATTTCTTTTTGCATGTGAGTATTTTGCCTGCATGAACATGTGTGCTCCACGTGGATACCTGGTGTCCACGGAGGTCAGAGCAGGGGTTGGACCCCTGGAACTGGAGTAACAGATGGTTGTGTGCGGCCACGTACATGCTGGGAATCGAACCCGGGTCCTCTAGAAGAGCAGCCCGCGCTCTTAGCCCCCGAGCCATCTCCCCGGCCTCACGGTGTGTCTGGGACAGGCGGCATCCATCCCTTTGGCTTCTGTGGTGGGGACTGTGGGGCGGGAGGCCGGGGGCAGGCGCCGGGAGGGTCGGACAGGCCTGGGAGTGTGCAGAGCCATCTGCCAGCCTCCCCTCCGGGAAGGGGGGTGAGTGTGTGGATGAGTGAGTGTGTGAGTGTGTGCACGCCAGAGGACAGCCCTGAAGCGTTGCGCACCTCCTTTGAGGCAGGGTCTCTCCTGGCTGGACCTCGCCAGCGCTGGCTGACAGTGAGCCCCAGCCCCGTGCCGTGGCCTCAGGTGGGTCCCACTGTGCCGGCTTCTCCACGAGGGCTGCGGGGATTTAACTCAGGCCCTGCCACACGCAGGCTGCCACACGCAGGCTGAGCTCCTTCTCCGGGCGGGCGGGCGCGAGCTGAGTTTCGTCGTTGGTGCGGTGTCCGTGGCCTCTCCCCGGCCTTGGGTCACCTGTGATCCAGTGGTTTAGGGAAGGCCCCGTCGTCGGGGCAGTGGCCCAGCTCCTGGTCACACCACGGGCTCCCCCCTTCCCGCTCAGGGCCAGGCCCCAGCCCTCCGGAGCGTAGGGAAGGATGCACTCAGGAGCTGTGTCGCCTGGCCTGACCCCTTTTACAGAACTGTGGAACAAGGCCCGGGCACTCGGACACCGTGCGTGAGGCACTATAGTGGAGGGGGTGACCAGGGCCGGCCTCCCCCCCCCCAGCCCCACCTGCTCTGTTTCTCGACTGTGAGTGTGAGTGTCACATGGCATTTCTTGGGCCCCTAGTACTTGCGTGTGCCACCGACGAGGGCCCAGCCACAGCCTCTCCCCATCGGCGCCAGCCCTCTCTGAGCCTCGGCTTCCCCGCCTACACCGGGAGCTAGCCTTGGCTCGCAGAGCTTTGGGAGAGGGTACGAGGCTCAGTCTCCAGGGGCTGAGGACATGGCTTTCGACACGCACGTGGGGGCCTGAGTCAGACCCCCGGCTCACGGATAAAGCTGGGCACCGCGCAGTGCAGGGGGCTCAGAGACAGGAGGGTCCCTGGCCCTCGGCCTTGATGTGTGCACATGAGCCATCCCCCTGCAGGCACGTGCACACACATGAACATATGCACACACTGAAAACAAAACAAAACAAAACAAAAACATTCTGGTAAGCAATGGAGAAAGGCCCAGAGCAAGCCAGTGTCTGGGTGCCCGCACCCAGTCTCCTGTGTCCTTGTGGCGTGAGGGTGCAGGTGGACAACAGTTAGGGCCTGGCGCGGTGGCGCACGCCTTTAGCCCCAGCACCAGGGAGGCAGAGTTTGAGAGTTTGAGGCCAGCCTGGTCTACAAAGCAAATCCAGGATGGCCAGGGCTACACAGAGAAACCCTGTCTGGAAAAACCAAAACCATCAGGCTGTAATGCTAGCATTTGGGAGGTGAAGGGAGGAAGAGGAGTTCAGTGCTAGCCTAGGCTATATAGATAGTTCAAGGCTAGCCTGAGCACCTCAAGACAAAACAAGCTGAGCTGCCTCGATGGACTTGGCCGCAGCGTGGTTGGGGCCGGCAGGAGGGACCGGAGCTCGGCTGCGGCCCGTCCCTCTGGGTCTCTGCGGTGGCTGCGTGTCTTAACTGCCCACCTCCTCTCGTGCCCTCCCTGCGCCCGGCCCTGCCCTGCTTCCCCTCCAGCAGAAGGCCGACCTGGCGGTGGCGGCCTTCACCATCACCGCGGAGCGGGAGAAGGTCATCGACTTCTCCAAGCCCTTCATGACGCTGGGGATCAGCATCCTCTACAGGGTCCACATGGTACGGGAGCCCGGGGGCCGGGGACCTGACCTGGAGGGCTAGGGCCTGGGACTACAGAGTGCCCGGGTACGGTCCCCGGGAGTGGGGTCGGGCTCCAGCGGGCCTGGCGTGGCCTCACGCCCTGGCCCCTGACTCCCCGGGGGAAGCAGGGGTTCTCACTGCCCTTTCCCACAGGGCCGCAAACCCGGCTATTTCTCCTTCCTGGACCCCTTCTCCCCTGCCGTGTGGCTCTTCATGCTGCTTGCCTACCTGGCTGTGAGCTGTGTCTTGTTCTTGGCCGCCAGGTGAGTGGGGCAGTGCCGGGGAGGGGGGCTGGGCCCACCACAAGCTACCGACCGTCCCTCCTCCGCCGGGCTGGCGCCCTGTCCTGCCTTCCTCTCGTCCTTGCCCGGTCTTGTCTCTCCCCCTCGGGGATCTGACCTTTGCTCTGGTGCGTCCCTCCCCTCCCCCTCTCTGCTCTCCTCTGGCCTCCACGCAGTGTCTGGTGTGTCAGCACCTCCCCGTGCCGACCCTTCCTCCTCCTCCCCGCTCCCTTCCTCTTCTGCGAGGGCCCCTTTCGCCCTCTCCTCCTCACCCACCCGCCCATCTCTCCACAGGCTCAGCCCTTACGAGTGGTACAACCCGCACCCGTGCCTGCGGGCGCGCCCCCACATCCTGGAGAACCAGTACACGCTGGGCAACAGTCTCTGGTTCCCCGTGGGCGGCTTCATGCAGCAGGGCTCGGAGATCATGCCCCGGGCACTGTCCACGCGCTGCGTCAGCGGGGTCTGGTGAGTCCCTCTCCTGGTGGGGCCGGGGACGGGGGACAGGGCTCTGCTCCCCGCCGCAGCAATGAAGAGCTAGCCTCAGCAAAGCTGTCTCTGAGGCCTGGCAGAATGCTGGGGTAAAGCTGGCACCCCGGGCTTCCACTGAACCCAAGCTCGCTAGTTCAGCGAGAAGGCCAGGGCGTGGCAGAGGGCACAGGTGTCTGTGCCGAAAGCCTGCCAACCTGGCCCAATCCCAGCATCCACCGGAGGCAGCAAGCGAGAGCCAACGCCGCAGGGTTCTCCGCCTCCACACGCACAGCGTGGTGTGCACAGACCGACACCACCTACACGTTCCCACACGCGCACAGAGTACTGACTTCAGTGAGCAGCCGTGGCCAGCGTGGGAGGGGCGGGACAGGAAGTGCTGGCTCAGCCCCCAGCAGTGCAGAAGCAACCTCGGTGCGCACCTGTGTTCTCAGCCCTGGGCCGTGAAGGCAGAGCTTGTGTTCAGGGCCATCCTTGGCTGCATACTGAGCTTGAGGAAAGCCTTGGCTACGCTAGGCCTTGTCTGGTACAGAGAAGGGCAGGGGCTAGGAAGAGAGCTCAAGGCCCCGAGTTAGAAATTCAGCCGGCTGTGCGCTCGCTCCTATGCCTGCCACAGGGACCAACAACCAAAGCGGTGTTTAACATATAAACGTGCTGCCTTTCCGTTCTGGAGGGCAGAAGCCCGCACTAGGTCTCGGCAGGGCTCAAAGGCTTAGCAGGCTCACCTCCCGCAGACCCCAAAGACCCCGTTCCTTATCTTTTCCAGCTTTTAGAAAACTCCTGCATTCTGTAACCTATGGCCCAATTCTACAGAAAAGCAGCATAGTATCAAATATCTGTCTGACTTATTTATTTTTGCAAAGCTAGATATTGAGCCTAGGGGTTTGTGCATGCTAAAGGAGAGTGCTGCTTCCCCTCGCTGGGGATTCTAGGCAGGGGCTCTCCACTGAGCACACCCAGCCCCTCACTGGGGGATTCTAGGCAGGGGCTCTCCACTGAGCC